CGTGTACATATGATACGCATCTACCCCACAACCCTAAACCTACCCATCGCGTAGCATATACACGCCAAAGTCCCTTTTTGCGTATCAATACCACAAGTTTTCATTTTTATTTGGCGTACTATTTATACGCACTTTCATGAGATCGGGTTGAGTAAGAGTACTCAAACGATGAACATGTCCCTAAAATATTTTCACCCTCAGGCCATCCAAGATGTGGATTTGTTTGTTTGTTTCTTTATCGGAGTAGATAAATAGAGAAATTTAGCATTACATCATCAATGGATCGTCTGCAGTGAATGGGTGCCGTCAGTATAAGAGTCCAAACAGCTGATAAAAACATCACGATAATCACAAGTCATGTAAGTAATCCACAAACTGAATGTTTGTAATAAACAAATCTATCATTAAAATCATACAATTTCTTCAGTGAGAAAGTCATCTTCAAAAACAGTCTACAAAAGCAAAAACAATGCAAAAGTTATGGTTTAAAGTTAAAACGCACAGCTTTTCACTTCATAAGACATTAATTGATGGACTGGAGTGGTGTGGATTATTGTAATGTTTTTATCAGCTGTTTGGACTCTCATTCTGACGGCACCCATTCACTGCAGAGCATCCATTGGTGAGCAAGTGATGTAATGCTACATTTCTCCAAATATGTTCTGATGAAGAAACAAACTCATCTACATCTTGGATGACCTGAGTAAATTTTCAGCAAATGTTCATTTTTGGGTGAGCAATTCCTTTAAGACTATAATGTGTGTTCCTAATTCGTTATCTATCAAAATATAACAATTTGGTCCAGCTCTGGAAGGGGAAAAAAAAAAGTAAACCTTGTTTTTAACAATGGAATAAATTCCTGATGTGTAAAATCAAATCCCAGCTTACATTTGTTGTTGAGTCATTTTAATCAAAAATAGGACACATTATGGATGTAATATGGCATGCAATTGTGGTTTCTTCTTGACTTCAGAGTTCAGGTTGAATGAGCTTCCCACACAACCCTGATACAAGCTGTTGCATTACAGACCTTTATAAAGGGGTGTGTCAACAATCTGACAGTAAACGGATCTTCCAAAATGCTGTTAAAGGAACATTCCTGGTTCAATAGAAGAAAATAAAATCACATACAGTAAAGATACAGCAATGTGTGTAAACGGTTGACTTGATTTCATGTTTTTTTTTTTTTTTGTGTATGGGCCCAGCACAAAATATCAGACCATGAGCATAAAAGAGCTTGGTCTTATAAAACAAAAAACAAAACAAATAAATAAATAAATAAATAGGCTACTTAAAATCAAGCATCATCACAAAAAGTTAAACTTTTACACCAAATCAATCAATCAATCAATCAATCAATCAATCAATCACTATAATTTGCTAGTCTATATCACAGATAGAGGTCCAAAATCAGATTCTCACAGAACGAAACACGTCAAACCAAACATAACACGCCATTTTTACTACGTACATATGTACAAAGGCAAATGTCATTTCAAAAGCACTGCTGCAAAAGCTGTAGAAAAGAGCGATAGAGAGAGATAGAAAGGCATCTTGCAACAATCCACGACACATCTGTGTGGAGCAGATGGGAAAGAGCATCGGAGCGTGATTATATTCAGTCCCTGGGTGGTTTTGGCCTAGTCTTTAGTCCTGTTTAATGGAACCCATCACAACCCTGGACACCGTCTAATAAGAGGGCACCATGTCTTTGATCACGGGTTCTCTGTTCAAATACGTTGCCCAGTAAACCAGGTTGAATGTCCCGAAGAGAACTGGGAACATGATACGGGATATGCGGTCGATTTTACTCACACTGTTGAAGGTTTTCTTCGCCACGGCTGGTTTCCCGTCAGCTTTGGCCTTACCCTGTTCAGCTACGCTTCCCTTTGCGATGGTGGGGAGAACGGTGTCCTTGGTGATGTTGGGGGCATAGTTCGCCACGGCGACGGCATAGGCGTTGTTCTTCTTGATGACTGAAGCTTTCTCCTTCTTCTGTAGGGAAAGTAAGAGTTTGTCACCTTTAAAATGGAATACATTTGTCTGTCCTGTTTGGAGTGCTTAATGCAATTCTGTTGTCACAATTTGATTATGAAAGCGAGCGAAAACCATATTTTATAACCAATTTGGGGGGGTTAGCTACACCGCAATAAACATTATTTTTTTATTTATTATTTCTTGTTCTCCTGTACAAAATATCTAAACATTCTTAAATCAAAATATATTTACTTGAGAAACACAAAAACTTTAAATATTAAGTATGTTTTCTGAAAAATGTATACAAATTAAGAAATTAATTTTTTTCTCAAAACTAGTAAAACATCTACCAATGGGATAAGAAAAATGTTTTTTTGTTTTCTTAAGCTTCATTCATTCATTCATTCATTCATTCATTCATTCTGCCATTGGCAGATATTTTTCATGTTTTAAGCAAAACCTGCTTAATACATTTTTCAGAAATGACAAACTTTTCAAAGTAAAAAGTGTTGAAAATTAAAAAACAAACAAACAAACAAACAAAAACAAAAAACAACAACAACAACAAAAAAAACTATTTTATCTAATTTATAAATAGGTACAAGACTATTCATGTGCAAATGATGTAGACAAAAAAAAAAAAACATATTAAATGTATAAATGTTAAAACACATAAATATCATGTATAAATATTAAACCTAAAACCATTAAAACTGTTTTCTGTAAGTGGAACAAAGGAGGAAAAATGAAAAGTAAAAAATGTATGCCTTTCCTTGGCAACTAACAGAAAAAAGAAAAAAAAAAAGTAGGATGTGAAAAGTGGGTGTTACACACCAGAATAAAGCTATATTGAATGTGAGTTTGCAATGCCAAAACACTGCCAAATAGCTATGTCTGCTCTTAGTTAACATTCTCTATTAGCCTGTACGTACGGCCTAAGTGATTTAAAGACGACGATTGGCTACTGTCCACACTGACAGTATTCAATCTGCTCCAGTCTCCTATTGTACAAACAGGACAATCTCAGTCTCAAATACGGATGTAAATCCCAAACACTGTGGGAATGCAGCCCATGTGTCTTATACATCATCCACTTGCCAGAGAAAACCACACAAGTTGTAAAACATGAGCGGTATTATGATGAGGAGTTGATGGGACAACTGGAGGTGTCGAGGATGAGCAGACTCATGATGAAGAATGGGAGGAAGATTCATGATTCAATAAGTTCTTGTCAAAACAGCAGCAGGAAAAAATTCAGTTGTGCCGGCGCCGATTGTACACAGAAAAATAACAAGATCCCACACACGACAAACAGTCATTAATAACAACTTTCTCTCTCCATTAGCGTGCACACACACACACACACACACACACACACACACACACAGCATCCTGTTTCACACGGAAGCACGTCACATCATGAAAGTAAAAGGGTTGTAAATACCATTTCACATTGACTTTAAAGTGAAAGTCCTGCCCCTAGTGATACGACATGATGCAGCAGTGAAGCACAACTGATTCGCGCAGGTGAATGCGAATGCGTTGAGCGTTCAGTCTGTTTCTCCAGCTGGGTTATCAGCACATGCCTGCAGGCCCTGCTTTCATTCCTGGTGTTTCAAAACGCCACAGACAGACCTCCACCTCCACCTCCACCTCCCCCTCATCCCGAGAGCAGCACCTCTCCCTGACACGCTGATGAATGCGCCACTGGAAGCAGCGCTGCGGTAATTAAAGAGACTGACAGGAACTAGTAATGCATCAGTCTAAACACAGGATGGTTACTATGAGAGGGGTGTTTGATACACTGTCAGCTCAAGCATTACTGAAATTCAGGATTTAATGTATGATCACTGGAAATGAGTTTGACAGCCTGCTACTCCTTAGAAGTCACTACCTTGGATACCTTGAATGAAATCAGTGAAGATCTCCTAAAAGTTTTGGTCGGGCTGAGATTCAGATTAGAGTGCAATACAAAATTTGATAGCATCTAAAACCATCCAGATAACATGTCTTCTTTAGCTGAGCATGTTAAAATGAACACTGACAATGTGAGCACATATTGTCAAACAGCCTTCAGTGAAACAGAGCATATTTCATGCTTAAATCATTTATTTATATGTTGTTTTAGAAAATTTATGTGGCGGATGCTGAGTAAACAAGTGAGACACAATGTGTATATGTGAAGTGAGTTTTCTATGAAGAAAATAAGTCAAAATAAAAGCAATAAATAAATAAAATAAATAAATAGCAAGCATATTTTGGCCATTTAAAACACACACACACACACACACACTCACACACACACAGAGGTGTAGCAATGGGGCAGGCAAGGCAGGCAAATGCCTGGGGCCACGCATTTTAAGGGGGCCCCCGATGGCCGACCATTTTAATCAACAGGAATGTTAATATTAATAGCTATAACATGCAGCGACATCTCTCCATCCTAGAGCCCTGCACGGGCCTCAAATTTAGGCCCTGGCCCGAGACGCTCAGGCCCTAGCCCGGCCTGTGTCCGACAGCTTATCAGAATTACCGGCCCGAGCCCGTCTTTTTTTCCCCCTTCTCCCAAAACAGCTTATAATACCGTTCCAGCTATTAAAATAGTTCAGTTTTGTATGAAATGGCAAAGTGATTATATTT